TCTGCCCCGAACGTCGAGGCGGATCCAGCGGCGTCGACGAAGGCCTCCGGGGAGGCCCGTCCAGGCGAAAACGGGGGGGGGGGGTAGCGGTATGGGTACCTCCTCCTCTTCCGATTCCCTCGCACCCCCATTCATCGCCCTCCCATTAGTGAATTTGTTCTGATTCGGCGTTTCGACTTTGGGCGGAAGGGGGGGGGAGGGGGGGATCCTGGCTCCGGACCTCTGCTTCATGCGACCGTCTGCAACAGTGCGTCCTATGGGGGGCACTCCACCTGCCTGAAACAGGCGCCAACAACAGCCAAGATCTACTCCATGGGGGGGGGGGGGAGGGGGCGAAACAGCCAAGATCTACTCCATGGGGGGGGAAGGGGGGGGGTGCGAGGGCCCGCGCCGATCGGTAAAACAATGAATCAGAACACGATCACCATCAATCGGCGGTGGACAAACCTCCCTTTAGTAGACCTCCCCTTAGTGAAAGCGGCCTGGGACCGAAACCGACGGACCTGGTCCCGCAAAAATGACGGCCGCGACGCCCTCTCGCGAACCGAAAACGGCCAATTCCTGAGGCCTGAGGCCCAAACCTGGCGGGCGCAAGCCTGGAAAATAACCGAAAACGGACAATTCACTAATCGACGTGTCACTGGTGGGAGTTCGCGACAATGAATCAGAACACGATCACCATCAATCGGGGATGGACAGACCCCCCTTTAGTAAAACGTGGTTTCGTGACAACGACCTGAGGCCCAAACCTGGCGGGCGCAAGCCTGGAAAATAACCGAAAACGGACAATTCACTAATCGACGTGTCACTGTTGGGGGTTCGCGACAATGAATCAGAACACGATCACCATCAATCGGGGATGGACAGACCCCCCTTTAGTAAAACGTGGTTTCGTGAAAACGACCTGAGGCCCAAACCTGGCGGGCGCAAGCCTGGAACATAGCCGAAAACGGACAATTCACTAATCGACGTGTCACTGTTGGGGGCTCTGCCCCCCCCGGATCACTGGCCATCGCTCGGACGTCCATTTCCTGTGTTTTTTCGGTTTCGTGCGTGGTTTTTTCGCCAAATAATCAAGGATGCTCCTCGATGGTCCTCGCCGAGGAAAAAACGCACACGTCCAAGCGATGCCAAGATCAAGCAGCGCCCGACGACCACGAAGAGCAGCGTGTCCGGGTGCAGGGGGCCCAGGGCGTCCACCCTCGCCCGCAGGGCCCGGCGGCCGACCTTCTCCGCCTCCTCGTACCGGCCCAGCGTCTGCAGCAGCGTCGACAGGTCCGCCGCCGCGCTGGCCGCGGCTGGCATGAAGGGGGGCCCCCCTGCGGCTGGAAGCAACGGCGCCTGGAGCCCAAGATGCCTGCTTTCTGGTGACCAGGCCCCTGCCTCCTCAGGCTTTCCAAGAAGAGCGTGAGGGCAAGGGCCCTTGCTGGAAGCAGCAGCCAAGGGGCCCCACGGCGCCTGGAGCCCAAGGTGCCTGCTTTCGGGTGGCCGGGCCCCTGCCTCCTCAGGCTTTCCAAGAAGAGCGTGAGGGCAAGGGCCCTTGCTGGAAGCAGCAGCCAAAGGGCTCCACGGCGCCTGGAGCCCAAGGTGCCTGCTTTCGGGCGGCCGGGCCCCTGCCTCCTCGGGCTTCCCGAGAAGAGCGTGATCCCAGATACGCAGCAGCCTGTGGCAGGGGGGGGGGGGTCCGTGGACCCCGCCCCGCCCCCCGCCCCCCCCCCCTGACCATCGCTCGGACGTCCATTTCCTGTGTTTTTTTCGGTTTCGTGCGTGGTTTTTTCGCCGAATGATCAAGGATGCTCCTCGATGGTCCTCGCCGAGGAAAAAAACGCACACGTCCGAGCGATGCCAAGCCCCAGGGCGCCCCGCCCCGCCCCCGCCCGAGCGCGGTGGCGGAATCGCGCGGCAGCACAGCCGGATTGTTGACCGAGATGATGGTCTCCGGGTGCGTGGGCCCGCACGTCTGCTCCCTGCCCTCCAGGGCGCGCCGGCAGAGGTCCTCCGCCTCCTGCACGCGGCCCTGCTCCTGCAGCAGCTGCGCCAGGTTGCTCATGGAACTCAGCGTGGCCCGGTGCGTGGCCCCCAGGCTCCGCTCGCTGGCGTCAAGCGACCTGCGGTAGAGCTGCTCGGCCTCCTTCGGAGGGAGAGCGGAAGGAGCGTGCACGTAAACGAACGGAGGTCCGCGCGGAGTTCTTGGACCTCCTCTGGGCCCGGTGCGCTAGTGACGGCGCCAGGGGCGCCGCCAGGGGGGCCCCAGCACCGATCCAAGGACTCCGCGCGGACCTCCGAGAATGTATGGTTACCATGCAACGTTGCCTTTCTGGGACTCCTCCAGCTTACCCATCTTCTTGAGAAGCACCGCCAGGTTGTTCATCGCCGTGATCGAGTGCGCGTGGTCCGCCCCGAGGGCGCCGTCCAAGGATTCGAGCAAGCGCCGCATCATCGGCTCCGCTTCGCGATGCTTGCCGACCTTGGCCAGCAGCAGCGCCAGCTTGCTCAAGGCAGACAGCGTCGTCGGGTGCTCGAACCCCTGCTCCTCGTACCATGAGGAGCCCAGGGCAGCTGTGTTCGCGCTTCGCGCTTCGCGTTGCGCGAGGCGCGAACAACATCGCGCTCTTGCGTCGAAACGGAGAACAATTATAATGATGCTGCTGATGCTGATGATGCTGATGCTGATGCTGATGCTGATGCTGATGATGATAATGATAATGATGATGCTGATGATGATGATGATGATGATGATGATGATGATGATGATGATGATGATGATGCTACTGGTAGGAACGATGATGGTGCTGGTGATGATGAGGATGAATATGACCCTGAACATTCATATGATATTGATAATGTTGCTGCTGATGATGCTGATAACGGTGATGATAATGATGATGATAATGATGATGCTGATGATGATGATGATGGTGGTGGTGGTGGTGGCGATGATGATGACAAGTTTTATGCTTATGAGGATGATGGTGATGATGGTGTTGATGATGATGCTGATGACAAGTATGATGCTGATGATGCTGATGATGATGATGATGAAGATGGAGATGCTGATGCTGATGATGATAATGATGACGATGATGATGATGATGATGATGCTGCTGCTGATGATGATGATGATAATGATGATGATGATGATGATGCTGATGGTAATGATGATGATGATGATGATGAGGATGCGACGCGAACAACGAGCCCCGAATGCCTACACGCCCTCGTTGCGGCCCTTGTGTAAGGGGGCTGTCACGGAAACGGGCCCCTGGACGTGGGGTCAAGGTTTGCATCCCAGACCGTCTCTAGCCTGTCCTGGGGAGGGGGCGAGAGCTGAGGAAAAGCACTGGGGTCCTGTCCCTCGGAACCCCTTCTGATAGAAGAACAGACGGCATACACACAAACTGTCGGAGACCCGCGCGGATCCCTTGGATCGGCGCCGACCCCCCCCCCCCCTACCCCCCCCCTGCGGCGCCTCGGGCGCCACCCCTGGCGGGAGCCTCGCGGGGTCCAGCGCCGATCCAAGAGATCTGCGCGGGCCTTCGACGGGCCATGCTCATGCCGTCTCGCCTCTTCGACGTCTCCCCGTGGCACGATCCTCCTTGCGCGCATCGAGCACGATCCTGTACAGCCTCTCCGCGTCCCCCAGCCGCCCGCCGTCCTCGCAGACCCGAGCCAGGTCCTCCGCGGCCCTCACCGTGTCCCGGTGGCCGGGCCCCTTCGTCCGCTCCAGGCTCTTGTACGCCCTGTGGCAGGGCGCCGGACCAGGACATGCTCGCGCAGTGAAAGAAGTCCCTACGGGAAATGCCTGGTCAACTTTGGCCTCTGGGGGCCCTGGCCGGGCCCTGGGAACGTCAGAAACGGCTCGCGATGAAAGACTGCTGGTATCGCCGCGGGGCTTGGTAAATGGACAGGGGGATTATCAGCGGATGCTACGGTGGGATGTATCTGGCGTGACCCATCTCATAACTGAGTTGAAATAGCCCTGAATGGCTTCGGTGGGCAAAGATCCAGGCTCAGTGGGCCCCGCTTACTTCGCATAATCATTTACCCTACCTAATCCACTTAGGGCACTTGCGCTGAAACCCACTTATGGGCTAGGTCAGGCAAGCTACACCCCACCGTAACATCCACAACTCACCACCTGATCAATTTAATAGCCCCCACAATGATCCAAATAACCCCTGGGAAAGGATCAGGACTTCCGGGCACCTCGCATTGAGAAACAAGCAGAGGCATCGGATATCTTGGAAGTTGGAGAGGGTGGCACGAGAGGTGGCGGCCATTCGCGAGGGCGGCGGCGCGCGACGACCCCGAGCCTTTCTGTGTGCCCCCCCTGCCGATAGATGTCATCGAGAACGCTGCGGACGTTCTGCTCAAATAATTAAGGTTAAAGTCTTGTGCTAATACGTTGTTGTTATGTTCTCAAGCCTGGGAAAGACCCGTGGCCTACCTGCTGGTGTTCGTTCCGTTTTGCATATGTGCATGTTGATTGTAATCTGCGTTTAGACCCCACAGTGCCGCCTGCTTGACGCCCACTGTCGGGGGTGCCGTTTTCAAACGTTGTGGTTGAGTCAATAGCAAAAACCAAGACACTAGGGTGGAACACGCCCCCAGCGCTTGCAAGAAAAACTGAGACCCTGCCCTGTGTGAAGGCCCCCCCCGCCCCCTCAGCGCCCCCTGACGGATACTCCACTAACGGGCATTTTGGCCAGCGAGCTGGTGAATCCAATCCTCGCCGACGCGGGCAATGCTGCAACCCTCGACAGAGCACCAAAAGGGACGAACTCTGGCAGGTCTCCTTTGTACCCGCTAGGTAGTAGGTGACCATTATGGTGCCACTGATCCCCTCAAGGCCCCGTAAACCCAGACACGCTAAACCCGGACACCCAACATCCCTCGAAACCAATTTTTCCAGACGGCGGCACGAACAAAATACGAAGCATGCGAAACTGCAGGAAAAGGTGCCGTTTCCTTGGTTTCCCGTGTGCTGGTTCATCTGTGTCCTGGTCTCCGTGGGCCTGATCCCCGCTCCCTCCTCCTCCTCCTCCTCCTCCTCCTGCTCCTCCTCGTCCTCCTCCTCCTCCTCTTTCCGCTTTCCGCTCCTCTGACGGCGGCCCCCGAGGGAACCACCGCAATCCGAACGCCTCCACAACACGCCGAGGAAGCCTCGGGACTGCCTACACACTCCAGGCTCCCTACTCCGAATCCTCCCAGCGGATGTCCCGCCTCTCGCCCAAAACCTCATACAGCCCCCGAGCCCACCCGACGCGGCGGGGATGGAGAGGGGGCTGCACGGGGCAAGAGCGGGGGATGGGCCGCTTGGAGGAGGGGTCAAGCCCCTGCTTTAATTGTCGCAAGGCCCGTGCTCGGCCATCCGTGGGGTGTCCTGCGCAGCGGTCCGCGAGGGCCAAAATCTGCCGTCTGGCATACGCCCCGCACAAAGAGCACCACACAAGACCGCCAGGACCCCCCGAGCACAGGAGCCTGTGAGACCAATGTGCCTGAGCGAGCTTAGCCATGACACCAGGGCACCTGTCGTGCACCAGCCTGGCTCGAGTCGAGCAGCTGCGGCCACAACACAAACACACCCAGCGGCCTCCAAAGCACTTCGCCTGATGCCCTTTGGGATCCGACACGAGCTCGAGCGGATCGAAAGCGCGACGGAGCCGAGGCTTAAGAGCATCGGGGAAAGAAGAGGCGGCGAGGTGCGCGAGGATCCTGCCAGAGTAGAGGGCAACGAAATAGGCCGACCACCACAAAAGCGGCCTCAACTCCTCTACCTCCTCAGAAAAGGGGTGCAACCTCGCGCCTTTCTTGGCATACACGTCAGCTAGCTTATTAGCTCTGTAGTGAAGCCACGGGACCCCTTGTGCCTGTGCATGAGTCCAGGATTCGTGGCTTCGCATCCAGTGCAAGTGAATCTGCTCAAGACCTATCTCGTCGATCTTGAACCAAATCTTGCACCAAACTTCAGAATACACCCTCGTGGGACGGCAGCACGCTTCAGGCCCTGCCGCCACACCATCGATGAGAGACTTACAATCGGTGACAACCGTAAGCTCGCCTACACAATTGCACAGACACATATAAAAGGCCCAGAGCTCTGCTGCTCCGATCTCCTGCAAGACTCCAGGGTGGGGCCCAAATATGGCTCCTTCCGAGTTCCCGTGGCGGTCTATCTTCACGCAAGACCAACCAGCCCTAGAAGCCAGAGGAAAATTGGGCGCCAAACAGGACCCGTCGATGCCAACGAGACCTGAGAGGGCCCCTCCTACCATGGGCCCGTCAAACTCCACGAGCCCATCGAGCCTCGGGGAAGGTTGGAGGTCAAGCAACGAGTCCACGAGGCCCCTGTGGAGGAGGGGATCCTGATGCTCGCACTCTCTGCCTGCACGCGTGACGTCGTCCAGGTCAAGGTCACGTCTGACCACAGCACTGAATTCACATCTGAACAAACGATGCCCCTCGTCTCCTGGCTCCGCCTTGCAGACCTGACACAAGGGCGAGTCGACGGACCGTGCCGCGAAGAGGCGCGCCTGCGTCCAGAGCCCCCCCGCGACATGGGTCCCGAGGAGCTGCGCCGCCGTCTTGAATCCCTCCCGTCGAAGCTGCTGCTGAGCCTGACGGATGGGCTCCAGGAGAGGGGGTCCCCCTAGGTTTTCCAAACCAGGGGACCCAGGGAGGCACCGTAGGAGCGCAAGCTCCGTTCCTAAATCGACAACTTAACGAAGCGAGCCAGGGCGGACCTCCGTCAGATCAACCAGCACCCCACCCGCCTCCCACCTCGACTCACTCCGCGGCGTCCAACCCAGGCGCTTCAAGGTGGCCAGAACAGCCGAGCAGGGCCCACGGACCCTGCCGTTAAACTTAGCAAACGCTTTGGCAAAAAGGGACTCCTCCTCCTCCTCCTCCTCCTCCTCCTCCTCCTCCTCCTCCTCCTCCTCTGGACATTTTCCACGCCGGCCGCGGCCTCCGCTGCCTGTCCTCGGCCTCCTTCCTCTCGGCCGCCCGGCCGCTCCCGCCCGGCGAGCTGCGCCGCGCGCTCCGCGACTTGGACCTCGCGCGGTCGGGGGCGACGGGGCGATTGGACCGCGGCACCGCGCCCGACCTCGCGAACGTCAGGATCGCCTCCTTCGGGAGCGGCCAAGAGGGGGGTGTCCAAGAGGGGGGGGTGCAAATCATGACCGGCGGCATGTGCGCGGCCCAGCGGGGGGGCCAGGGACGTAATGAAACGAGAAGAGGCGCCATGAAGTCTGGGGAAATATCATGGCCCCCGCCATGATATCCACCCCACCCTAGTCACCAATCCCCTCTTTTCCGCCCCCGACTCCTCCGCCTCCCACGACCCGCGCGCATACTCGTTCCCGCTCAGCGCATTGCTGTTGCCGCTGCGGCGCGACGGCGCGCTGCTGCTGTTCGGCGAAAAGCCGCTCTCCACCGCCGAGTCGATGCCGTCTGCGTCCGGGACGATCGAGTCGGTCCCAATCGTGCTTCCCATGGCCTGGTCCCGGGGCGTCGCCTCTCGGGGGGAGGAGGAGGAGGAGGAGGAGGAGGAGGAGGAGGAGGAGGAGGAGGAGGAGGAGGAGGAGGAGGAGGAGGAGGAGGAGGAACAGCAGGAGGAGGAGGAGGAGGAGGAGGAGGAGGAGGAGGAAGGGGATGAGGAGGATTAGGGGGAGGAGGGTGACGAGGAGGACCAGTGCAAAGCAAAGACGCATCCACGATGTTGCAATCAACCGTTCATCTGAATCCCTCATCACAAATCTGCGACGGCACGTTCCTCAAGAAGTGTTTGCACTTAAGGTTTCCTACACCTGGCGTAAGGGAAGAGGCTTGGCTTGCAGTTTGGCGGTCAACTTGCGCCGTGGCTGCTCAGTCGCCGCGTCGTCGCCGCCTGTCGTTTAAGCCTGGCTGGCGGTCTGGCAGCTATATTGTCGCCGCGGCCGAACCGCCGGGATCTACCACACGCCTCCCCCAGCTTTATCGGCACCCCTTGGGATAATGCAGTTTACAAACGATTCTGGTCAATGGCTCATTTTAGGTAAGAATTTATACCACCCTAGGGGGCACCCTTTTATCGAATCCCCCCTGTTCGCCCCTGAGAGACGATCATATGCGCACGCACTTGTTTATCACAAATCATCCGTTTCCAAAAGTCCGTCGCTAAACACACAAAGTCCATGCGCGCGCATGCTGAAATGAATCAAACACCAAAGGCTTCGTATGACTATCGAAGTTGAGGCCACCGAAAACATGATTGAAGCATTGAAAACATGTGCAACCTGAGCTTTCAAACAAACAACTGCTCGCGCGCCTTTTGAGAAGTCGTGCGAAAACCGCTGGCGCTCAACATGTTCGTGAACTGCGTCTCGCACGCGCATGTCGACATCGTTCGGACGCCATTGCGCGTTCGCTGGGGGTGGGGAGGGGCACGATCCTTAGTAAACACATCCATGCGGGCTACTCTTGCCCGTCGGCCGCGTGCGCATGTCGAAATCCGTTCAATACCTTCATCGCCGACACGTGGACACCATCATTGTCACCGGCGTGATCTGCATCGGCGCCGTCAATGGCATTGCCGCCACCATTGTGACAAACATCGTTACTATCATCAACGTGTTTTCCGTTGTCGGCGTCGTCATGCGACATTGCACCGCACCCGCCCGAATCACCGACTCACGGTGATAAGTCCGCGCGTCAACACGGCCTGCAAGACGCGCAGGGAAGTCCCCAGCGGCCAGCGCCACCGCGGACGCGACGGCCGCGCCAGACTAGCTGGCACCCCTGCGCGTGAGCATGCGCGCGTTCGCGCGGCCGCGGCGATGCGCCACCCAGCGCCGCGCAATCATTGCAATCGCCGCCGCATGGGTTTTGCAAACCAAGTTGCGGGTGGGTGGTTGGAATGATTGAGCGAGCAATGGAATTGACGCGAGTAGGCACTGGTTAATTGCACGGGAAAGACTTACCCGATATATTATCCCGTTTAAAAACAAACTCATGATCCCCCCCGCTGTATCCACCCTCGGGGCAGCACGATGCACACGCGATGCAATCCCACCACTCGCCCTATACATGTACATGTATTTGTACATGTATATGAATATATATATATATATATGAAAATCTACAGTTATACACATATGTGCGTATGAAAATGTGTGTGTATGTATACATATATATATATATTCATTTATATATACAGGGCATCCCAGAGGGTGCCGCCCCCCCCCCCCCTCATCCGTGTCAAAGACTAGCATGCGCGAGCCTTTTTATGAAGAGAGCAACATTTCTTTGAACCCAAACGAAAAGTATAACCAAGTCGACACGCGCTCGTCGTCGCGCGCGTAACGAAAGTATTCCACATATGTGGGTTGTATGAAGCGTCTAGCAACAGTGGATGTGAACCGTGATATTTCAACAAAGTCTGCGCGCGCTCATGCAATACCTGAGGACGACTGTACTGTTTTTTAACGTTCTCGAAATATGCGACCAGGAGGGCGTGTCGCGCGCATGCCGAATTGGCGCGGCCGCCCTTGCGCGCTTGCTGGGGGGGGGGCGATACTTGTCAAACAACGCCATGCAGGCCCTTCGCGCTCTTCGGACGCGCGCACGTGTCGAAATCCTTCCAAGACCTTCATCGTCGACGCGCGGGCGCCATCATCGCCATCGGCGTGATCAACATCGGCGCCGTCGTCGGCCTTGCCGTCGTCATCGTCATCACCGCGACCAGCATCGCTACTACCATGATAGTGCCTACCGTTACCAGCGTCGACATGCCATTGCGCCCGCCCGGGCCACCGACTCGCAATGAAGTGCCCGCGCGTCAACGCGGCCTGTGAGACGCGCTGGGAGGTCCTCAGCGGTCAGCGCCACCGCGGCCGCGCGTCGGTCGCGCCAGACCAGCTGCCTGCTCTGCGCGCGAGCCTGCACGCGTTCGGGCGGCCGCAGCGACGCGATTGCCGGCGCCTTGCAGTCATCGCAATCGCCGCCGCGTGGGTTTTGCGAACCAAGTTGCGAGTTGGTGAGCGGGATGGTTGCGCGAGCAATGGAGGCGACAACCCCGGCAACCCGTTGGTGATCATTCGCCAGCTCCTGTCAACAAAAAAACAAGCCCCCCCCCCGCCGCGCTCCAGCCCGCCCCCACTTCCCGAAAACATCGGTTCCCCTGGCATGCTGGGATTTAAACCAGATCCGACCCCGTCGTTCATTCTAGATCTGAACTCATACCTTCCCAGGGGGCCAGGCAACGCATCCCCCCCCCATCCCCTCGCGCGCCTGGCAAACAATACTACGCGCGTACGTTTACCACATATCAACAGTTTCCGAAAACCCCTCTCACGAAAAAAGTACTCGACGCGGATATCCCCGCATGTCCATCTCCCGCGCATGTCACGTAACGCCGAGGACGTCTGTAGGGGAGCATCTGGGAGTCAGCGCGACTCCGCGCAGCCGCCAGGCGCGGCGACGATGACGACATCGACGGCGACAATTTCAGTGACGTCCTTCTCCTCCTGTAGGCATTTGTCAGGACAGATGAGCGAGCGCATGTGAAGTGCGATGGCGCCTTGACCAAACAAAGCAGGTAAGACTGCGAGTGGGCCTGAGCGTGAGTGGTCTGCGTATGAGTTAGTCGCAATGCGAGTGGGCCCACGAATAAAGGAGTTTGAGTGTGATCGAGTCTAGGTGTGAGAAAACTGGGTACAGGTGCGTCTGAGTATGAGTTCTTCTGAGTATGGGTGAGTCTGCGTGTGGCGGGTGAGCCTGAGTGTGAGCAAGGCTATTTGGTGTGGGTATGAGTTTGACGACTATGAGTCCGAGTAGATTTGCATGTGAATGTGAATGAGTTTGAGTGCGAGTATGTCCGAGTGATTGTGAGTGGGTCTGGATACAAGCGAATATGAACGCAAATGATTCTGAATGTGAATGAGCCTCTTTGTGGGTGGGTAACAACTCTGAAAGTCTCTCTCTGTATAGATGAATATGAGCAAGAGTAAATCTGAATGTGGCTGAGCCTGAATGTGAATGAGTGCGACTGTAAGGGAGGAAGAGGAGGAGGGGGTGAGGAGACGAGATTGATCTGAGTGGCAGTGGTTGGGGTGTGAGTGAGTCTGACTGTGGGCGGGTCCAGGAAAGATTCAGTTGGTATGTGGGCGAATCTAGATATGAGAGGGTCTGGTTATAAATGAGTCTGAGCAAGGGTGGGGCTGAGTGTGACGGAGTCTGAGTGCGAACACGTCTGGAGGGGGGGAAATCATAATGTGAATGGGTCTAAGTAAACATGGGCGACGAGTCTTCTTCTGAGTATGAGTGCTTCTGGGTGCGGGAGTCTGAATGTGACTGGATATGAATATGAATGAACCTGAATATGGAATGGTATCAGAATGTGCGAGTCGGAATGTGAGTGATTCTGAATATGAATGCGATGGGCCTGATTCTGGCGATGCGTGGGTCTGGGAAATCGTTTGCATGTAAATGGAGCTGAGGGTCGGCGAATCTGAGTGAGAGTTCATCCAGGTGTGATTGAGTGAGCCTCAACGCGTGCAAGTCTGGGTGTGAACGGGTCTAAATCCGAGTGCGCCTGGGTGTGGGTGAGCCTGAGTCTGGTCGAGTGTAAATGTGATGGGCGAAAACATTGGAACGCGAACGGGCCCGCATCATGTCCCCAGGTGCCCCACCCCCCTCTTGGGAGTGCTGAAACCAACGCCTCGCCTGAGACGCCCTCACGGTCTCCCCCAAACGCAGACGATGTTCAGCATGCACACGGGCAGCCCGCCTGAGACATACCCGCAATCTGGGCGCGAATCCTCCTTCTCCTCCTCCTCCGCCTCCTCCTCCTTCTCCTCCTCCTCCGCCCTCCTCCTCCTCCTCCTCCTCTTCCTCCTCTTCTTCCTCCTCCTCTCTTCCTCCTCCTCTTCTTCTTCCCTCCTCCTCCTCTTCTTCCTCCTCCTCCTCCAATCTGGGCGCGAATCCTGGAATGTCCCCGACCTGGGAAGCCTCCTCTGGAGGTGTGGGGGCTAGCGCCTCCCCGGAGACATCCTAATATCTTGCCAAGAAAGCACCGCCGCATGGGTCTTGCAATCCGAATTGAAGGTGGGCGGGTGGGATGACTGCGCGAGAAGTGGAGTTGGCAACTTCACTAGACCAGCCGGGCGAATAGCACGGGATATATTGGACCACGTACGTTGCACCACGTATACTTCCCGTTCTAAGCGGAACAAGCCCCCACCACCCTCCCCGACAGGGTGTATCGATCCTGCATGGAGAGGCCAATGTGCACGCAATTCTTCCCAATCATTCATACTCATACCCTCGCAGTGAATACCCATTGTATCGCTCTCTGCGTTCATCTCTATCAACTAGCACATTGCGCGCGCACTCGCATTCCCACAAACCACGCGCACGCGCCGTCGCGTGTGCATGTTGGCAGCCATCGACAATCTTGGGCCGCGCAAGGCTTTCAACGTCGAGGCACCCTAAACATCCATGGACCCATTGCGACCAAACTTCCTCCGACAACAGAAT